CATATGTATATCAGTACAATAACGTAATGCAAATTATTTACATATTAAAAGTGTAAATAAATAAGCGGTATTTCACATAAGATAGATAAAAGCGGATCATAAGTTAGTTAACGTAACGACACCGCGATCGGCGCGCGCTGAGAGCGTTATAAACTTGTTTAATAACGCGGTAGCCACTTTTAACTGTATCATTGCCAGTTTTATTGAAAATATCCTAATCAAGACGCTCGGCTATATATGTAGAGATTTTATGACTCGTTTCTAAATCTTTAGCCTACATTTTATACCGCCTTTACGCCGTTTTATGAGGTGTTTATGAATCCAATCATGAATCTATGAGCAATAAATAAAAAATGTATGTTTTTTGCTTGCTTTATGCAATCAAATTAGCTCCGATGGTTTATGCGTCTTAACAAGGACTGTTCATTTTTGTTATGTAATGTTTATTTGATATTAATAAATTTAGTAAAGTATTTCTTTGGGAATTCACATCATCTAAGTAGGTAAATTAATTGAAGTAGAATTACCTACATATATGAACAACTTATTAATATTATAAATAAGAATGTTTGTATAGACGGATGGATGTTTGGTAGAAGGTCATCACCAGAACGGCTGCATGGATCTAGCGGAAATTTGGTATGAATGCAGAACATAGTCTCATGATATGTGATCTACATAGGCTACTAATTAAGTTTTTTTTTATTCCGCGCGGACGGAGTCGCGGGTGACAGCTAGTATTAATATATATTTGGAAAAAGTGCAAATTGAGTGATATACTATGTTTGTGACTATATAACGGTTCATAACAATTATGATGACATCTCTCAACTTGAAATATTGTATTCCAAATTTAATAATGACAATCAAATTTAAATTCCCAACATTTTCATAACAAATGGATCTTTGTAATGTAAGAGTATGAAATTACACGAGCATTGAGGTATTCGCTAATAGTATGATGAAAGTACACATATATGATATGCGGTTTGCCCGAGATCAAGGATGGCGCTACTAAGAATCAACTACTCACTCGAATCTCACTTGACTTGTTACCATAGTAATAATTCGACAACACTTAGTTTCTGACATCAAAATTTCTGTGCTAAATATATCGTCATCTCTGTAATACTTATAGATAAGACACAGATCATATGATTTAAAACGGGGAATTTGACTTCAGAAACCCACGGTAAGACTTTTAAATAACTTACATTTTTATACTATGTATAAAATACCATAGCTATTTTCTTAACATTTTAATAGAGAAATTGAAAAGAACGGATGGTATGGTAGGAGCCGTGGCAAACCGCGCGGTATTCAATTGTAGGAAACCGCAAATACCTTAGATCCGTTGCTTTCGATATATCGACATCGGGCCGCAACGCTAAGAAAGTAGGCTAGTGATTCACTATTCTGCCTGATAACACGGCTCGTGCTTTCTGCGCTTCAGATACTTTACGCCTTTATCAACAGTTAAAAGGGAAATTTATCTAGAACTATATTTGTTGCATTATAAAATTATCACGTTTAAGCTTTTTATAGCACTATTAGCTGTCGTCCGTGACTCCGTCCGCGCGGAATTAAAAAAAAGAATCGCTTTAACGATGTCTTTATATATATGTCTTTATATCGTGAAAAAAATTATATTAATTACTGATCTCTTTGGCTATTACCTGATAATAAGAGAATTTAGCTACCGTATCAGTCTACGCTACAGTATCAATCTTTATTTTAAAAAGATTTTATCTTAGCCGTTGATTGTTACAAAAAACAACTATTCTTTATTTCACTAATCTATTAATTTATCAATAAAAGAAATAAGCTTATCAAAAAGAGAAGTGTTGATAGAAGTAAATTATAGTTTATTGTAAAACGTTTCATTGAGACGACCGTTCAAAGTGAAACCTCCAACGATTTCACTGTCAATCGTTCAATGCAAACCACGAGGTAACATTATGTAGCATCAGAAAATAATACATTAAATCTAAGTTACACGATTAAGGTAATACTAACTTAAGTGTTTAACGTAACTTTGAAACCACTTGATACGTAGATGGATAGGTACTTATTTCTAAATGTAAAGGTTTCATTTTCAATCTTACTTACAATATTATAAATGCGAATGTTTAGATGGATGGATGATTGTTAGAAGGTATCTTCTAAAAGGCTGTATGGATTTCGCTGATATTTGGCATAGATGTAAAACATAGTCTGGGAGGACATATAGGCTACTGACGGAATCGCAAGCGACAGTCGTATCATAAAAATGAAAGAAATTTGAAGACAATATAGGGACATAGCAGTGCCCCTGCAGCGATGCAAGCTATCAATTATTGGAAGACTTATAAGTAATAGTTATTAAATTTTTTTTCACAATTTCGTCCAATAAAAGACAAAATCGTAATTCTAAAAGTGTTTTTTAATAAAGTTTATACAACTTAAAAAAAGGTCAGAGTTCAATGATGTTTATTAAAGGTTTCGATAATAATGGACAGCGAAGTATTGTTAAAATAATGTAATAATTGAGTCAAATAAACAAATGATTGTCGGTCGTCAGATATAAAGTATACTACGTCGATACCAAAATTATAGGTATAAAGATGATTACAGCCATCGTGCAGCATTTTTTCGTTAACCTTGATGCAGTGATTTTCAATGAAGCTGATTAAAAATTGAATTATGAAAATTTAATGAGCGCTTATTATTGGTTTAAAAGATATGATGTAATTGTATTTTTACTTTATTTAGATTTTTTTAATAATAAAAATAATTTTTTTATTTTTAAAAATTAATTTCAAGTACCCAACTCTTTTGTTTTATATATGTGCCTATATTTCCAGTGAACAACAGCATCAATGATATTTTTACTTATGTTTTAGTTATTTGGAATTGTTCAAGAGAATTTGTCTATATATGACCTCTTAATCTATGTAGTTTTTTCATTCATCGATTTAAAAGCATTAAATGTACACAAATCTTATATTGGTATTCAATGTAATTAATATTTTAATTTAATTTAGAGTTTATAAATTTTACATCTTGCTATACAAAACCACTTACAATAAGATTGTTATTTTGGCAGGATTTTTTTTTAAATAATACGCGAGAAAGTACAAATCGTAAAAATATAAATATGACATATTAATTAAAGAAGGATCTTCGTTTTTATTGTTCGTGTGAATCGTAACATTGGTATTGCGATACATTGAGAAAGAGTTAATAAAAAATTTTAGGGCACAGTAAAATTTAATTCATACCTTTGTGAAATCTATAATATTGTGAATTACGTGTATAAACCGATGTCGCAGTGGCAGTAAAAAGGATTGTTGTTAACGTAAATAACACGAGTTAATTGCTGCAAATAAATAAAAACGAAACAGATACTAATATCCGTTTATTATAACAGTATTCAGTTATTTCATAATTTTAAAAAGTTTTTATTATGTTATAAACATTTTTTTAACGATTATTTCCAATGTCGTAAATATGGAGTATCTCTTTGTACCCAGATGGTATTACCTTCGTAATTTGACTCACAGTTCGCGTGACTATGGTTGATTACATGACGCGTGTTCACATACATATGTATTATTTTGAGATTAATGTGATGAGGTTTTAGTAAATTGTCCGATGTTATATTATATTTTTATACACACAATATATAAGTATAAGTTTTATTTTATATCAGGGAGGAGGAAAATATAAGTCAGTATTACTATAGTAGAATTTACGTGAAGTTTTACTTGCCACGTTTACACGCTAAAAATGATCTCACTTCTTACTCTACTAATTACTAATATTATAAATGCGAACGTTTGTATCTCTATCTCTCTATCTATGTTGGAGTCTTTGAAACGACTTAACGGATTTTCTTAAATTTGTCATAGATGTAAAACATAGTCTGGAAGAACACAGGCTACTAATTAAGTTTTTTTTTAATTCCACGCGGACGTCATCGCGGGTGACAGCCAGTAAAGCATAACAATTTCTGTAATAGTTAAGTGCAATCAAACTCATATTAAAGTATATCAATCACCGTTTAACTTTTTATCTAATACTCTTATTTAACAACTCTGCTTCTGATTTTAGTAGATCTAATCTACAAGCCATTTAGCGCTGGTTGAAATTATGTAGGTACGTCATCGCTTCACATAAAACGCCCGCCACTTCACAGAAGTTTAGTGCCGTTTCCGAGAATTAGAACGTTTGATTTAGCCAGGTTCTCCTAAAAAGTATGCAACATCTTCCTATTTCGGAAAGCTTCTTACCTTAAAAAGAATTGATATAAAGTATTGCTGTATAAATAATTTCAATTTGCATGGATTTAAGGCGGAAAATAGTCGGTGGGGCGGAGGAAAATTTCACTGCAACGGTCATTTGCTACGCTATAAATTAGCGCAAAATATTTCAAGTTCTTCCTTAGACCATAAACATAAGTTGTAGTATTTAGAAAAAAGAATATTATAATGACCAACCTGAGATATAGTTTTAAATTAAAATACATTTTTATTCATTATTCATATAATATTGACTTTGTAAGAGCATTTTTTTTTTTCATTTCATTTAAAAGGAAGTTTATTAGTTGCCATTCATCTTCGCTAGTGATCAATTTTTCTTAAATTTTTAAAACAAGAAGTTGTAAAAACAATTGCTAAATTTAATTTAAATTTCGAATTATTGTAGTGTGGAAAATCGTGAACTAGTTGTATTTTAATGGCTCAGTATAGGACGTAGTATTAAACTAAGATACCTTTAGCTGTAGTAGCCGCCTAATCGCAGCCCCGGGGTCAAACCGTGTAGGAGCCCGTCGTCCCACCACGTTTATTATAATAAGCTTTAGTAGCCATTATAAGATATATCCATCGCCCTTTATACATTAGCTTAGTTTATATAAAATGAGAAAATAATTTATTATGTATTTTTTATGACATTCCTGTTTGTCGTGTACATTTTTTATTTATGTTTTAACAAAACGTGGAATTGAACGAATGACTTACCTATTAGCGCTTGGTCGTGGTAATTGGGAATAATCTCATTTGCGGTAGACAGTTTGGCGGCGGTTTTTGTACGCTGCAACAAAAGAGTAGAATACATTTTAAACAGGTCTCGGAAACATTTTAACGAGCTTAACTGCATAAGTCACAAGCTGTATATAAAAAAATCCATATGAATGGACTTGTTTGGACTTATAACTGTGTGATTGACGAAAGCCGTAATAACGGTTGTTAACAAATAATAAGTTAACGTTGCGAGATGTTAATTTCATCTGAGATTGCAAAATCAGTTGCTCCAGACGTCCCCAAATGTTTTTATGTTTCGATAGTTGCGCATACTCAAAGGGGCAATTATTTAATAATAAAATTACACAATCGTCTTAAATAAGTCGCATCGTGACAGTTGTGCGGGTACATTTCTAGATATCGACCATTGAAATTAATTACGTGATCTTTGAACTGTTGCCAAATGTTGTCGATCTATTGTCACTGTTCATAGATGCATTGTTGATTTCATTATTGAATCATTGATTAATGTTGACAAGGGCTTGTAAATTTTATGTTGCAATAGTATTTAAATTCACCTAGTGAAAGTCAGTGAGCAAGAATATTTCTTATTTTTTTTTAATAATTAATCGAGATATTTAACACCGTAATTAAAAAGAGTACAAGTTTTAATAGATGTAATCATGTTATTAATGTTTTAATATCAAAAATAAAGACGCATTCTACCTATTTAAATAAATGTATGAGTTTTCCGGTTCCATTTGAATAAATTAAAAAAATACTACAGTAAATTAAACAAATAAAAAAACTGCATAAATCGACCTTCGAAAAATTCCACTTAAAATAAAGTTGTAAATGTATGACCAAAAAATATGATATACGTTGTGTACAGATTAGTTCGGTGCCTTGTGATGTCTGTGTTTTATAACAAATGATGATACTACTGTTGCTTAACAAGATTGATATTTTCATGGCACGTGAATGAGCATCTGTCTCGGATTCCGAAACAAAGGTCCGGACAATTTGTGGGCTCGATTAGATGTCTGGTTATTGAAAAAAATATCCATTATAACGTATTATATAAGATTATACGAGTGTATGTAAGTACTGACAATATGTTTGTACAATATTGTCAAAATATATTTTTTTAAGACAATGTATTAGAATTTGGGGTTTCATGACAAGTACTGTTTATTCGCTCTGTTGTATGAGAGAAAATTACGGCTTATTGACTTTTTTTTTAGAATCTCGAGATAGTATGAAAAAGTTTGATTTTTTAAACATGTACCTCTTATATAAAAATAAATAGCGGATTTAATCATTATTTTTTTCTACAAAAACAACTTTTAATATTAAGTAAATATTTGTAGGATTTCCCGCTATTCAATCGTTATGACAGTGTGTATCAGGCGTTACGTATCGCGGACAATAGGCGATGATTCCAATACGAAACTATGGGAGCCTCCTTGATTGTTAGCCGTCGAAGATTGATGCGACATTGTGTAACACCTTGATGTAGGTTAAGGTTGTTTTACGCATTAAGACAATGGATACTATATAAAGCATTAATAGCTATTGTAAAGGATATCGAAGTATCCACATTAACGCTTCCGAGGGAGCTTTTGAATTAAGTTAATGTATAGTTTAACTGCTACACAGTAAAGATAAATCATAACTTAATAACATAAAGCCTTAGTGTAACTTTTTCATATTTAAACTATCTAGATCTCTTAGTGCCAATGAACAATTGTAGCAGTAAACCTAATTAGGAACAAGGATGTTTTAAGACAGTTAGTAGCTTTAATTTAACAATAAAAACTTAAGGAAAATTGCTTTAACAAAAGTGTTTCTTATGTTATTGATTCAAGTTACTCAAGTGCTGTGACGCATACTTAAGACAGTCGCTTAGACAGTAACCTAGTGTGATATAAACTCATATGAGTTATTACCAAGTTAGAGGTACTCGATAAATCTCCTGTAAATGTATTCCAGATTTGCACAACATTTGACATCGTCTGGTTAACTCGCCCTGAATTCGTCTAAAAAGCTTATCTCAATGTTTTCGATGTTTTTTTATTAACTTTGTATTAAAAGGTACTTGCGAAAAAAGTTGTAACAATTTATTCGCTTAAAGAAGGTAAATACTTATGTATTTAATCTGGTTCTGCATGCGGTCTCATTAACCGGTCTCGATAAAACTTTCACTGATAACTAGCCGCTATAATTACGCTCTTCTAAATATAGTTCGATTCCATTAAACACTCACAGTCGATCAGATTAGTGACTTGTAGTATTTCATTGAATTAATATGAGCTTAATTTTAAATTGAAAAGCATACAAATATGTACTTTATATCGGTTTCGAGGCGACTTAGTCTGTCCACGAAGTAAAGCGCAGATTTTTATAACAAAAAAAAAATGAACTTCATACTATTGTAACAAGGTTTAATTTTGAGTTTCGTTTTTTTAACGTTTGCTCTTGAATAAAAAGACGTAGTAAGTAAAATTAAACTTTGTGTCAATCGTGTAAAGGTCAATATTTGCGACAGCAAAACTGCTCTGCTCTTAGCTATGGTCCGTCCCCGCGAATCGTAATGGTTTGCTTTATCCGAATACTAGTTGTCGCCCGCGATTGCGCCCGCGCATAATTTAAAAAAAAGTATTTAAGTAAGTAGTCTATGTATTCTTCGAGAGTATGTTGTACAACTGTGTCTAATTTCATCAAGATCTGTTGAGTCGTTCTGGAGATACCTTCAAACAAACATACATCCATTCATCGACCTATCCAAACATTGTCATTTATAATATTAGTAAGATTTATTTATTTAAGGTTGATATTGATTTACATAAGAATACATAGTAGCACTTTAACACAACTCTACATATTGAATGTAGGCGCAAATAATAATTATCGATATAGTAAAAATCATGATTAAAACATGTTGGCAAAATTAAGTAATATATTAAAAATTGTAAGCAAGGCCATTGGAAACGAGTGGCTCGTTTAAACATAATATTATAGTGGTCAGATTATAGACGATAGGGGGCGCAATTACAGCGCTCCGTACAGTGGTCGGGACGAAATAACAATAATTAAGTCATTGCCGTCTTGGCCGCCTCCAATACCGATCCAAACGCGCTTTATTTTGTTTACGATTGCGTTCTTTATTAATAATACATAATGAAAAATATATAATTTGATCGCATCAGAGAATTTTGTTCGCAAAATTTCATACGTAATAATTTTTTTAACAAAATAAGTTCATCTCTACTTGATTGTTATAAGACTTTTTTTTTTATTCGATATCAATATCTATTTACAACAACATAAATGTCATGCATTACGTAACAAGCGAAAATCACTTTCGAATGTAATAAAAAATGTTACGGCCTGCAATTTGAGAATAAGGACCCTTGGTTCGGACTCGTTCGTCGTAAATGCGGCGCCCGTCCGGCCATAACTACGTATGATGTATTATTTGTTGTACTACTTCAAACTTTTACCAAAGCTTCAAAACTTCTTTCTTAAATAAATTTGCTGATGTAAATTATTTGATATAATCTCATCAGCCCACTATATATCCCCTCGACTGAGGGTCTCAGAGCCTACCTCTAGTCATAGTCAACCACGCTGGCTCAGTTCTGGCATCTTTATATTTCTTTGCAGATATGTGCAGGTTGAATAACGATGGTCGTTATATGTACACACGTGAATCGAAATTCGTAAAAAGCATTGGTACATAGCGGAATTCGGGATTAGAACCCAGGACCTGCAGATTTCAAGTCAAGTACCCCTTAGCCACTGAAGCTCTAGTATAAATATAATTTAGTCATATTCACGGGTCACCCTTATTAAAGTTAAGAAATCAGTTAACTAAGTACTAATAAATACATTAATTTGCGTAAACATGGTAAACGCGCGAGCCTTTGCCTACTTCACCGTACTAGTTAGGTAGCTTGGTATTTGACAGCTTTTTACTAAACATGTGTTTGATTGATGTATCGCACGAAAACACTAATCAGTATTAATTGAAAACTACATGATTTTTAAACAACTTTTAAATTTGGTAAATCGATTTAAGTTGTTGTTAGTATCTTAATACCTTTTTTATTTTTCAACATTTTTATATTATTAATAGTCAAAATTGTCTTGCTTTGCGCAGAGAGACAAAAAACTAAGGATTTTAAATTTCAAATTGTTTCGGAGTTTAGGAGAAATATAATATTATCTAAAAATAATATACAATGTTTTTTAACTCCTTTGGAGATGAAGAAGCTAAGTCGCCGTTATCGATTATTGGATAGAAAATTCTAGAATTAGAGATTTTTTTTAATGGTATTTTGTACCTGTTTTAACAATTATGTATCTATAGAAAAACATATGATATGGTGCTGATAAATATCTTCTTTAGAAAATAACACATGCAAAATTTATATTAATTATAACAAGATCGAATTTAAATAATTTCAAAGCAAATCGTGGCTATTTGTGTTGTGTATGATTATTTATGTATGAGAATTAGGTACCGAAATAAACGTAACTGGTGTGGGAAAAAACTGGTTATTCAATAAAAACTGTTCTAACAGTGTGCTTTGACATTAATGACAAACAAAACACACTAATACAGATTTAATAAGAGCAATGATACGATAATTTACTTAGAGAAAGTATAATAAGACTTGACATACTATTACTGTGAAAATATTTTAAACATTGCATCCAACGAATGTCAATTTTATAATGAATACTATTTTGATAATTTTCTTCATTTCGAATCGTTGACACTATAACGTTAAAAGTGTCTTATTCATTTTTGTTTTATACAGAAGGCAGAATATATATTTCAATACAATATATGTTTCAAGAAAACTGAGCGTCTATTAACCGCGATTTTAAATTTACGCCAGTTAACACGGATTTAAATTTAAAAGAAAGTTAGTAACGTATGTGTACTTCCAAATTATGTTCTACAACGTTAAATTTCAGCGGGATCCGTTCAGCCGTTCAGGAGATACCTTCACATATCCATCGATCAATCCATCCATCCATCATCATCATCATCATCCAGAT